ATCCCTGGTCATTAATTATAATCTTGTGCACATATGCAGTGTGATTGCAGGAAATAATCAGCTTTGTCTGCCAAATTGGCAACATTTAGAAACTAATTTGTTATGACATACCATCAAAGATATTTAAACAACAAACCCAAAGCTCTGCTGCACTGCGCCCACTGTTCAAATATCAGATCACATCATTAAAGAACAGTTAATGTATCCGAGGGGCGGTAATATTTATCCTTGAACCCTGGTTCAAGTGGAATTTCCAGAAAGAACAGTTATATCTTTTCTCCCTCGCAGTTCACAGGAGAGGGAACTCTCTCCAGAGTGACGGAAGGACGGGGGGAAGGGAGTGACTTCGATTCCACTACAGCCTTGCTGTCAGTCAGCAGCTATTAAACAGCCATTGAATAAATGTTTGCCAAGAGCAAAGCTTACTCAGGATTACTGCGCTCTTCGGGATGCCTGCAGATCCATTTGGAGACTTTAAACTCATATTTATCTGTCTAATTTCTTTCACAGCCCTTGCTGCCACCCTCATCCACCTCCAGGCTCGCAGCTGGGATTGAGGTAAAGGTGTATTCTGGAGAGGGGGATGTCTCTGCTCCCATCTCTGCTCCAAAGAGCAGAGGAGCTGCCCTCCACCTCCCAGCCCAGGGGAAGCTGAGCTCGCCAGCAACCTCCTGGCTGCTAAAATGTGAACCTTCCCCACACAATGTTTCCGTTTCAACCTGTTTTAACTCCCTCTTATTAGTTAGGATCTTTTCTTTTTCTCCTTGTTAGTTGGCTTCTTAATGTTGGACAGGACAAGCCTGCAAAGCACCTGGAGGAAATAGAGGGATCCCCCATAAAACCAATTTGTGCTGCTTTCTCAAGGACCAATTCCTGTTCATGCAGTAGGCAAATCCTGCAGAGTGAGGACTTTTCCCTCTAAGCAGCATGCAGTGCCCTTTGAGGAGAACCAGAGAGCTACACTGCATATTTTGTGCTGCAGACAGCATCAAAGCTGTCCATATTTAAGCTTTAGACCAGCAGATAAACCAGCACAGGTGCTGCAGGACTTAGGCCAGTCCTAGAGAAGGGTTAGGCTGTTCAACAGGTTGGGATCAGGGAGCTGACAGGTTCTGATGCCTGTTGGGTTCAGTTCTGAATTGGGAGATTATTCTTGCCATGAAGCACAGAAAGGAAAGTGCCATTTAGAGAGCAGGAGGATAAGGTGGACAAAATGACAGCAACTAAGTCAGCTTTAACACTTCCAAGGCTCCAGAACAGGAACTTGCAATAGAATGTGTGAGACTATTGAAAATTCAAGGGCTTGCCAGACATGCATATCAGAGGGTGCAAGAGACTTACATGCATACATAATATGATTTCTTTTCTCAGATGTATGATCAGAGTATTAAAATATGCATCAAAATAAAACCAGAAATTAAATATTGAGCTATGCCTTTATCCTGGAAACAAGCCTCTTCCCTTCCTCCCCCCCAAATGAAAAGAATGGTTTTAAAATAGCATAAATACCACGTATGTGACATTTTTTAAAGAAAACAATTGTTTCTAAATTAAAATCTAGGTGATGCTCTTGTTAAGAGCTAAATGTGATGCTTTTCCTGAGAGCAAGAAGCTGAACTCACATATTTGTCTGCAGTCCTTACTGACACTTTTCCCTCTTCATGCTGCTTCCTTCAGTGCATTTTGGTGCTCTCTCCCCTCCTGTAGCAGGAGTCCCTCAGCCTGCTTAAAGCTGGGGATGGAAAATACAAGTAGAACAATTGCAAAACACTTAACTGATGGGATTGCTTCTCCATTCTTACAGTAATGACTGTTTAGTCTGTGAGACATACTTTAGCAGAATATTTTGTGTAATTTACATGGCAATTCCCTATGCTTTTCCGTGTTTTCTCAGAATCCAGCATTCCTCGTTACTGAAACAGCAGTTAAGGAATCAGTTTTGTGCAAATCCATTCCTCAGAATCTCAATTGCTGTCATCAGCCACTGAACCAACAATAATATCTTTTCTTTTCTTTCTTGTGGTATTTTGTAGCTTGTAACTGATTTAATAACAAAGTCTTTTAAAATGCTTGAAAAGAGCTGGTATTTTTCATGCAGTAATTAATGTTATATATACTTTTCTCTACGGCACAGTTTGGAAACGGATGGGTCCCAAGGATACTTCTTGAAATTGGAGGTAATGAAATGATCTGAAATCCATTGTCATGGAAAGATAAACTGCATCAAAAGGTACTTCGGACTAGTGATAACTATGATAGCCATATTCTTGAAATGTTCCCATATTTTCAAAGAATAATAATCGATATGAACTTCCAATTAGCATCTTAAATATTTTCTCCACAATGGTATGGATTTCACTATAGTATCAGCCTTTACCTTCTTTCTTTCTCATTTCATATCTGATTGTACAGGAATAGATAGGAACAAACTAGAGAATCATAGACTAGCCCAAACCACCCCAAAACAAGGACACTGGAAAAACCTATCCTTTGTTTTTGTACCATCTGTAAAGATAAAACTTTGAGCTTCCCATTAGGACAAGCATTTAACTGAAGCTTTTCACAGAAATGGTGCAAGATCACCAAAGCACCACACTGTATGGGGGGTTTATTCAGTGTTCTTTAAAAAAGCAGATGGAGAGTTCATAATGCCTTTTAATCAGGACGCATTTTACCTTGAGAAGTTCTATTACATTGTACTCCACTAAGGCCGACATTTAAATTACCCATAATAACACAGCCATAATTATTTTCTTCTTTTTCTTATTTTGCTAAAAGTCATTGAGCATTTACATAAAACACTGGCCTTGGGAACAATGTCCTTTCAAACAAACCATTGCAAATTAAATGCCCAATGAACAATGTCTTTACACTGGGAACTAAACGTAACATGGTGCAAATTAACCCAAGTCCAACATGCCGTGATGTTGAGGTGCTGGGCCTGTAGCCACCCAGATAACTCATCACAAGAACAGCAACCACTGTTTCCTAGGTAGCTCAGTACATTCAACCCCAAAAATTAACTGCCTCAAGAGAAAACACAGGAGTGATTTGGTCTTAACTGGGTTCATTTTGACACTTGCTCACGATAAGGAGGGAAGCTCTAAAGGCAAGGATTGCATTGACCTTCATAGCAGAGAAACAGCAGGTGTTCCCCTCCTCAATGCCAAGCCAAGGCAATACTGTGGTGGAACAGTGTTATTGTGACCTCCTGTAATTCCACTATCGAGTACAAGATGAGAAGGAGGGTGCTCTGAGGAGCCAGAAAGAGTGTACATACAAGGACAAGCTCCTTGAGTCCCTGTCTCTCCCCTTGCTGAGGCGTTATTTCTAATACTTTAATCATTCTTATCATTCTTTTCTGAACACTCTCCAGTTGTCAGCATCCTCTTGAATTATGGAGAGGAGAACCGCATGCAAGGAGCACTCCAGCAGCAGTCACTGCCACCAAAACCAGAGGTAGCAGAAACTCTCTCATTCCCTTGAAATTTCCTTTCCCATTCATTCAAGAATCTCATTAGCCCTTTTGGCTCCTCAGAGCTCACATCCACGTGATCATCCATAGCAAAGCCAGAGTTACACATTATATTGTGCCATTCCACACTGAGAAACCCCTGATGAATATACTCTTGAATTATGGCTGGAATGGGAAGTATTTCATTAGTACTGCTTGATCTGACTGTATGGATGTTCTCCTGCCTAAAAAGGAGATGCCGAAGAACAATAATATTTATGGGAAATGTCAGCTTTTTTAATCTATATATTCTATATATCCTATTTATCCTATATACATGATTTTTTTTTCATTTAGATGCTGTGATGAATCAGCGCCCCTGTTAAATTTCCCTTTTCATAACAATCTCATCCCCGATTGTTCCAAGCTCCTCATCATCCTCTCATTTCCCTTATCCATTTTCTATAATTCCTACAGTCGACAGTAACTAACTGATTGCCCTTTTCCATTGCTTTTCATCTGCTTTCCCTTGTCTAAGTAATACTGCTTTGTACGTCAGAAAAGCTCTTCTCCACTGGGCATTGGTGGCTTTTGAGGGAGCCTACTGAAAATTTGTATGTTTTCACAATTGCCCTTTCTGTTTTAATTCCTCTGCCTGGATGACTGGCTCACAAGTCTTTTCAGCTTCATTAATAGCAGCCCTTTTAAAATACAAGATAATATTACTGCTGAAACTTTGCTTACACGTGGCACCTGAAGTCAAGTTAGGATGAACTACACCAAACCAGTCATTCTTTTGCGTTCTGTGATCACTTTGTCTGTCATTATGAGGACTGACACAGAATGTCCTAAGTTGTTCAGTTCTTTATGGCATTGCTTCCTTCAGACTAAACTCATGATTTTGCTGTCTTGTTCACATATACTAGATATGGGAGGAGCTGGTGACCCACTGGTAGATTATAAACCCGTATGGACCTGATAATTTTGGCAAATTCATCGCACCCATTCCTTACAGCACGTGCTTCTGTTCAAGTAATAGACCCATCTCTTGTCATGGCACTCAATATCTGATCTGGCTCATGCCATTAACAATAAGAAATAACAACAGTGAAGTCAGAGAGGCTACTTTTGTGAGATGTCTTTAGTTTAACCCTTCAACATGCAACAGTCTTTCCAATAAACACCATTTCTTTTCCCTACGTGATCCTTGTGTGCCATTGAATATTCTCTGATGTGAAGGTACTGCACTAGTCCTCATTTTACTGCCCCTTGTCAATTTGAACTAGGGTTCAAGCACAATGTGATTAGTACGTCACGTGTCATTGGCTCAATAAACTTCTCAGACAGACATGACAGACATTATGAAGAGTTATCACACACATATCCCAACTTGCCCTGCTTAAATAAGGAAGAAAATTAGAACTCAGCATCCCATTCTTTTAATACTGATGCTGCCAGTGACTTACCCTTGGAAAGATAATACTTATCACAAAAGTTCATGAGGCTGTTGGGGGAATTATTTACTTGCTATGCTAAAATTAATTACCTGAAGTGCTGCATAATGGACTGGTAATGTTTTCCTCATTGTCATCATCATGAAGTAGCCTTCATTTGTCTGCTGTAGAAAATAAGTATGTGGAAAAAAGAAGATGGGCATTCTTCACAGCCTGTACAACTTTCCACATGCAGAAATAGAAGTTATTCTTCTCCACAAGCAAAACGTCTTTCCAAAGAGACTTGCAAAATGGGAATATGTTTGTTTCTCCCAAATGCTGAAGGGTAGTCTGAAGGTGAAAATAGAGTATACTCTCCCTATAGCTACCAGTACTTCTGTATGGGCTCTAGTAACTAGTTAGTACAAGTCACACTAAATTAGCTGCTCCATTTCAGTATAACATATATGAAATGCTTGTATATTAAAAATCCAGAATATTAAGTCTCTGTCTTGCTCCAGGAATCCTAATGCCTATTTCTTAGATCCTTGGGGAAATTAGGAAGCTACTCGACAAGTTAATGCTTTGAAGCTGTAATTTAAAAGGTTTTTTTAAAGAAACTCTTTTTTTCTCCTAAAGAACTTGGCATATTTTAAACAGAAATTGTAATAATAATTATGGATATATTGACCTCTTTGTACTCTTAGGCTCTGGCCACTCTAGTGAAGTAGATTTTAACCAGCTCCCTGTAGGTTTCTGTCAGCTTCCCATGTTTCTGTGCTGCATTTATCTTGCAGGTTGCTTAATGCTCTCTTAAGATTTAATTCACTAAAGAAACACTTTCCCAGATCATTTGCTACATGCTCTGAAGAACTGAATGAGTATCAGACACTGGGCTGATTGCAGGCCTGTCTGTAAAACACTGTGCTTCTCCTTGGGGCTCTATGAGCACACCCACTAGCTGTGGCTTGCTGGGGTGATGATGGGAGCCCTAGTGCAGGGAAGGGCTACCCAAATCTATCTGACAGCAATGAAGAGCCTGCAATCTGCTGTGAGGCTTTGTATCAGGTCCAAAAGGTGTGATTTTGAGAAAAACAAAGTGCCACAGGTATGCCTCTCTTTCTTCTTTTCCTTTTGGCTAGGAAACATTCTGTCTTAGCCTGTAGCTGGAGCTATACAGAATGAGTTTAAACACACAAACAAGAACCAGTTTCTATACCCTGGAAATAAGTCCATTTGCTGCAATGTACGGCTCACCTCTAAGGATCCAAGTTTTTTTCCTGGATAAACCTAACCAAAAAGGAAAGATGTGAGTAAATGTGAGAATAGATCATGGATTTGATGCTTGTGTCAGTCTAACTGATGCAATTGAGATGTTCTTCCACTGAAATCCCACATTTGGACTGTCAATGTCAGATAAAGAGCTCACATTACTTTCAAGTATAAGAACATAGTTCACAATAAAATACACTTTGGATTGAAAAACTGCACTTATGTCCAGGCTCAACCACACAGAAATGAGCTCCTTAATGCTCTATCACTGATCTGAATGTCAGTTCTCTACACAAGTTATCCCATTTAAGTCAATAGATTTACCACAATAAAAGAGAAGCGTCATCCCAGAGGCCCCACTATGTTTACGTATATAAAGACAGAGGAAGAAAGACTGACTAAATGTACTTTTCTTATCCCCTTTCTATCCCCTCACATATATTCAGAGGTATGTAATGGCTTTCAAATTCATTTTACAATGAATTGTCTTGGCAAACAAGGCGGTTGTCTCTGTGCACAGAGGTGTGGAGTTTGCTGCATCCAATACAAAAGATGGCCACAAAACCCTGCAGTCTTATGGGACATTCAGAGTCTCTTTTAAAATAAATATGTCTCCTAACTCAAAAGATGCAATTTACATACAAATATATTCCCCCAAATATCCCCCTGCTTCCTAAAAGCAGAGGATACAATTATTTCAATGGATGCACTGTTGCGTGCCTTAATCATAACACGATTTACAAAAGTGAAGTTGGAATTTAAAGGCAATCTAGATACACTTGACTATCTACAAAGATAATGAAGTAGTATTTTTATTGTTAACATTGCTGCCTGAAATGAGATGTTTGGTGATTCAGACCTTCTATACAAAGAGCCTATAGCTCAGTCATGTAAAACTGGTTCAATGGAAGTAGCACTGATGTAACTATTTAGCTGCTTCAGAGCCTTGAGTCCTGAAAATGCAGAGACACAGAACACCTTGAAATGAATCTTGATGCTTCTTTTTGTTCCTTGGCAGGATTGCTACCTTTTCATGCTCAGTGCCAGACATAAAACTTCCTGGACCCCTGATGATGAGAACAGTAACAAATGATGACAAGCTCATGTGAAAGAAATTGTTTCTAGTGCTTCAGGACAGTTCACTTGGCTTAACGTCACAACACAGGTCTAGAAAAGTCATGATTTACAGTAAGAAGGCAAGTTTTTGACTCCTTAGCGCATGGAAGAGAGCTCTGCTTATGTTGTAAATAAGAAGTTTTGATCATTATTATCATGAAAGGATGAAATGTCCTTACAAAGAAAAACTGAAGTGGTGAAAGGAAGTTTTTAAATGGGGTCTCCTGTGGCATGTCTTACTGACCATTTTGAGAAGCCTTCCTAAACACATCCCCACACACATGTACATACATGTATATGTGCTTACCTACACATATACGCAAGTTTTTGACACTTGCTAGTAACATTATGCTAGGTGTCACACGAACACAAAACGCTTTGAAGAGTGCTTGTAAGTGCAATGTAGGGCAAGGCACAGTATGTGATTACATACAAACAGGAAAGAGCTAAAAAACCCGCTGTGATGATAGCGGTCAGCTTGCTGGGCAGAGGTCTCTGCACACCAGCTGCCTAGTTGCTGTTAAATTTATGCCTAACCCCCTGTCACAACAGAGCTTTAAGACAGGAATTAAAGGAGAATAATAAAATAGACCTGCAAATGTGTAAGAATTCTTCTCCAGCATGATACTGAATTAGCATAAAGTACTTTCCATACACCAGAAACTGTCTTCATCTACTTACCATTCTCATGTGAGCATGAGAACATCATTGAACCTCAGAGAACCATTTGTAATAGTAGTAGTAAAGATGCTGGCTGCATAAAAATTAAATGCTGAATACCAACAATGACAGCAAAATGGCACAGAACTGACAACTCCAGGTCTTCACTGCTGATACTCACACTTCTTATGATGCTGAACCTGCCGTCAGTAAATAAGTCATCGTTTTTTCACTGATTTAAGCCTTGATGATGCTTAACAACTGATTCCTGAAAGCTGTCATTGGTAATATCTGGGGAGATACTCAACAAGAGTGAAAGGAAACACCATTCCTGGTTGGAACGGTCTCGAGATACTGCCGCAAAGATGTCACCGCAAAACAGCAGTCCTCCCTTCAGAGTAACAGGACATTCCTCTGGGAAAGGATTTGGTAAGTAATAAAGAGAGGACTTTGTGAAGCAGTTTAATGTGATAGTGTTTGATTAGAAAGAAACAAGAAAAAGGGCCATTGAGTCTCTTGGTTCAGCTCATGTTGTGCAAAAGGCAATGCCAAGTTCACACTAGGACCAACAGAACTGCTCACAGCAGAAGCCAGTGCAGATATTAAGAAGGCAGAGAAAGGCCAGGACAAGCTCTTACTGCTCACTGGATGAGGAACGAGGGTCACGTCGGTGACACTTTACTGTTAAACTCATCACTGGGAGCTCAAAAGCAGCCTCTTTGAAGCCTTCCAGATCAGCTGAGCTGGGAAGCTTTAGGCACTGAGCTTGAACCAGAGAGCAGGACACTGATTCACTGCATGAACTACACTCCTCTATGCCCAGTAATCAAGAGGGTCCTTGAAAACACTTTTGACTTCACCTACTCTTGACTCACACTGAGCTTCAAATACTTCCTGTAGCCATGGCTTGTTCTTGGGGTGACAAATCCAGAACTCCTTGGTGGTATCCAACTGCCTCTTCACCAGCATGCATGGATGGCTTCCTGAGGTACCCAGTGAAAAGGTTATCCTGTGTTTCTTCCCAGCTTCATCTCTGGAACGCTTCAGCCAAAGTTGTCTAAAAGTTTGAGCTTAAAGGAGACAGCTGGAGCAGAGAACTTCTGCTCCAGTGGTTCAGGTTTGGCAAAGCTGCGAGCAACTGGAAGCAGGTCACTGCTACACTTGCTTCTTTGGCACTGCTCCTGTTCCCAGCTGAAGCAGGCGCCATCCACACATTCCTGGTGTTCTCAGCACTCCTCCTTTCCTCCTCATTTGATAAAAATAAGAGCAATGAGTGACCTAAAAAGCAGTCGGTAGATGCAAACATCAGTTTGGAATGCAGCTACTGAGAGATGAGAACATGTATTTAGAAGTCAGATACTTTACATGGAAGCACAAAACCTTTTGACTTCTGTTTAAACACAGGCAGATTTCACTCTAGTGATCAGCTACCCTGTGCCTGGACTTCAGTACTGCAAGCCTTCTATCTAATCCCATTCATTTCTATTTGTTCCTTTTACTAATATTGCCCTTTTTAATCTCTCTTCATTTGGAAGCACCAGCCCTCCCAATACCTTTAACCATCCTCATTGCACTTTCATTGAAATCAATGGGGCTTTGCAAATTACCATTGTACAGCTGACTCCATTATGCCCATTACAGATTTAAAAACATGATGACAAGAAGCTAATCTGTAGGCACAACTCCCTCTCTTCTGCTGTAAATAACTCAGCCATATAATTTTTTAAATCCTGAAGTGCCTAAATTATAGCCTAACAATACGCAGAATTTCATCTTCCAGTAAGTCTACAGGGGTTTTTTGTCACTGAGATAATACAGCACTTTTCACAGACTCAGCTAAACTGCAATCGCCTTTGTTTGTTTTGTCTTGTTTCTTGTTTAAAAATGGATAGAGGCATGTCAGGCCAATTTAATTTAAATAGAATGTTCAGAGACTAAGAAGTGAAGTGGCAGAGTTTCAGTTCTCCATGATGTCAATGAGAGAACTGACAACCCAGTGTCCCTGCACAGCCCTTCAAAACAGGGACTGACAAACTCCTTATCAAAAAAAGGTAAAAACAGGGTAAAAACCCTGTTTCTCCACATTAGTACCATGCCTGTGCCACCAAGGAGGGAAATAGGGGAGTATCACCCATCA